CTACTGATGCGGTCGTATTGTCCAATTGACGCAATCCTTCACTTTCTTTGGCCAAAATGGATTTAGTCCAAGAGGAGCAGTTGCTGTCTCCACCAATATCACAGCACTTTGCGTAAAATTCGTCGCAGCGGGAAGACATTGTGGAGTTGTTGGGAAAACATCCAAAAAAGTAGCATCTGACCACACCGGTGCCCTGCACTCTGTGATAGTAGAATGTAAGTATTTGTCGCTCACCCGGAAAGCAAGGACATGTTCTGAGATCGGGTCCTGCGCATGGCATATTTGGATCACAAGTGTCGCACGTTGGAAGCATCACCACTCCTTGCTCTGCTTGCACGCAGCAGTTGTTATAGAAGAGAGTGGCGCAAGTCAAGCAGCCAGCCAGTAGCACCAATCGCCAATGGCAATGGCAATGGTTACTCCGCACATAGGCGCTTCTCATCGAGGTGTCACTGGCGAGAGCCATGATGAGAATGGCGACAAATCCTCTAATCGCGGACTGTAAAGTGCAACCTTCGAATCCAGGAGTCTTTCCCAATCGACTATAGTATTAGTGAGAATGCAGCGAGCGATGGCTGACGTCGGATACCAGCAAAGTCACACCATCACCTGGTCAGCAATGAATCAACGTACGTTTTAGATGTTGCACACGCACGTCTTTGCACTCGTTACCGCAAACTCCGTCGAGGCTACCCTGCTGCGGGAGGAACAGGTACGTTTGCCAGTGTCACGCTCATTCAAGATCCAGTACTCCATACGCCGCGGCACACCCATGTCCTGAGCCCAGACCTAGATTCACCAAATGCTGCTCGCTCGGCGTCACCAACGACAGTTCATGATCTTTCCGAAATCGACTCGGACGTTCTTCTTGCACAGCGGTGATTTGCGCCCGTCGTCAGTAGAATTGCAGGAGTCCGAAAGCTTCTCTCGAAACTCAGCTACTACTTCTACTATGTATTGGTAATGCTGTATACGCAATGCACGCCCAAGCTTGGGAATCCAGAGCAGAGCCGGGGAGATATGCCTCCTGCTACCTCCATGCACAATACACACACAACCGGGGAATGCGCGACAATGACTAAAAGTTAGGTTAGTGTAAGTCGGCGTAGGGACGGTCAGCCGCTCTTCTAACGTTAGGAGGCGTGCATGCCGGCGATAGTAGATATCTACTCAGTCTCAATGTTGGTGTACACGGCTGTTACGTAGATCACAAAATCGGACATTCAAAATGGCGTCATTTTTTTGAAACATTTTGAATTTTTGAACGCGACGGCCCCCAGAGAATAGCTGAGAATTGCATTTTTCACGTTGGTATCCAGGCCATTTTGGCTCCTATCGTCTCCCATCGACACGGTTTACCATACAACCGCGATTTTCGTCCAGGGGAAGCTTCAAGGAACGCATTGATGCCTTTTGGATCGTCTTTCCCAAGGGCGACAGGTTTCTGTCGCCATGTCGCCTCCACGTCCTTTGTTCTTTCGATTCCCAAAACTGCTCTACTTTCATTGCTGCCTACATCCCGGCGCCGAGTTTTCGCAGCTGCTTGCTGTGTTTTTGGTGGCCCTAGAGACCTTCTATAGCTCGAAAATCGCGCTCTTGTCCCAGATCGCGCAAAGGAAGTCTCGATCGCGCATCGACATTTTAGCCTTGTTTGTTGCTTTCTGCTCTGCGATGGAGCACCACTCGAGTATTCTTGAATCCGTGTGTCGCATTGGTGGCCAAAAACTTGCCAGTGCTAGTCACAAAACTCCATATCCGGTGAAGAATTATGTTGAAGAGATCGGCAAAGTTTTTAAAATTGATGTTTCCAAAGATTCCCCTGACGTGCATCCCCAGTACATGTGCTCACTTTGTCAATTTGCTATAGCACGTTCAATGAGAGATGACACATATAAGTATTGTAGTGGGGGCTGCAATGGCCCAGTTACATGGCAACCACATACGAGATCTAACTGTGCCGTATGTAAGAGTGATGCTGTACGAGCCAAGGGCGGCCGTCCACCGAAACGGAAAGCCGTCAGTGAACTGCGTGGCCAAGCGGCAAAACGACAGACATCAACGGCATCAACATCAGCTGAACTGCCAGAAGGCAGTCCTAGCTCTCAGCAAAGACGCACCAGCAGCAGTAGCAGCGGTGACACCAACACAATAGCACACACCACTGATAGTCAAACATCCGCAGTTACTTTGGACGAGATTTCGGCGCACGCAGCGCCTATGTATCGGGCTGAAGCAGCATTAGAGAAAGAGCGGTTTATTGACAGTGGAGCTGTGCAGGAATGCATGATATGTTTGCAAGTGGTAAATGGAGCAGTTCAAGCCAAATGCTGTGAAAATATATTCTGCTCAACATGCGTGCACACGTGGATGAAGAGTCACAATACATGTCCAGTATGCAGACAGCCAATGGCACTGGCGACACTGCAGAAGCCATGCAAGCTAGTGTGCAATATGGTTAGCAAGTGGGGTGTACATTGTGACTTCCATGAACCAGCATTGTCGGGTTGCCCAGCAACCGTTCGCCTCCATGAATTACGAGGTCATGTCACATCATGTCCGTTCAATCCATCCACATCCTCAGGAACGCCCATTCGTACTGCAACCAAAGCTGCAACAGTGGAGGAGATCTTAGCAGCGTCACCATCAAAGCTACGGGGCGATGTGAGTGACAGACTGACCTGTCACCTTGTGTCCGCCAAAGCAGAAGATGGGAGGCTGGAAGTGAAAACCAGCAGCCAAGGAAGACCGCAAGTTTTCATGCGAACAACAGTTGGCAGCAAGCAGCCGGAGGAGGCATCAGCCAGGACGCTGAAACGACGGTCACTGGAAATGGAGCGCATCACAGAGACAGTTTGCACCACAGCAGATGCAACACGGCATGGCGTTGCTGGACTTGGCGCTACCAGCATCAAACCACCTTCAGGCACTGCCCTTGCCATCAAGGCCGATCTAAGCCTTCCTTGGGCGCAACTCCGGAAGCTGCGCAGATGGCTCCGCTCCTTCGGAGTTCAGCTTGAATCGGAGAGAAGCATTCGCTCATTCATAGCCACCACCTTGCCGAAATACACAGTGAAGCAGCTCCCCTTTGTCAAGCGGACTGGCGAGTTGTCACTTGCTGCAGCTGTCTACTTTCCAAACCTAACCGACATCATTATCCACTACCTCGACATACTTGACAGCGGCAGTAAGCTGACATGGCATGATGGCGCCATCCCAGAAGAGGAGATATGGGTCAAGCTGGGCGGTGACCATGGTAAGACAACATTTAAATTCGTGATGCAAATCGCCAACACCATGCATCCAAACTCACTCGCCAACACTGTGCCAATCTGCGTGTTTGCAGAGAAGGACTTGCCGGCAAACCTGGAAACTGCACTCTCAATGTATCGGAACCAAATTGCAGAGCTACAGGGCCAGAAATGGAAAGGCAAGACCATTGTGCCTTATCTGTTTGGTGATTACGAGTACCAAACCATGAACTACGGCTTGTCGGGTTCCAGTGGCGTAAGGCCTTGCCTCCATTGCTTGTGCACGAAGAAAGACATGCAGGTCCCACCAGCGAACCGCGACGTACAGTATGGAGCACGGTCCTTAGAGAAGATGGCGGAGGACTATGCACAGTTTACTAGCGCAGGTGCTCTGCTGTCAAAGGCAAAGCTGTATAACAACACCATCCGACCAGTCCTATTGCCAGTGCCCGTTGCGAGCGCCATTATTCCAGTGCTGCACCTAGACCTCGGTGTATTCCCGTGGATCTTTGATGTATTCACACGCGAGGTCCGTCTTCTGGACATGCAGCTTGCAGAACAATGCGACGCTGAAGAGCAAGACAGTGGACGGTTTAGAGCCTTGTCAGCTGCAAATCACAAGTTGTCTGGCTGCAAAACAGCGTTCTCGGAAGCAACAGCGAAAGCCACCGCTCTGGAGAATCATCTGCACTTCATCGTCTTGTTTGGCCAGCAACAGGGCATGGCGATAGAAGCACTCGCAGGCGTGCTACAACGGGAGGTTGAGCAAGCACAGGCCGACACAGAGCAGTGTAGCTCACAGCTGAAGATTGCTGAAGACGAACTGGCCAAGTTGCGCCGCAGCAAGGATGTTCTCGGCCCGTGCGAAGCGTCCATAGAGCCAGTACTGCAGAAGAACATTATCCATCGGCAGGCCTATCACGGCGGTGCTTTCGTAGGGAACCATATCCACCGTGCCCTCAAGCCCGCCGTGATCACAGCTATCACTGAGGCCCCAGCAATTGTCATTGGAGATCGGTGCCCAGCTCTGCGGAATGATGCTCAAGTAGTCAGTGAGCGGTACAAGTCCCTGTTCAGCCAGTACGCAGCGTGCAGATCTTCCTTCAGCCATTGCAACAAATGTGGAGAGGAGGAACTGCAGCAATTGGAGCTCTCCATTGCCTCGTTCTTACAGAAATGTCGGAGCGAGGTGGTGGAGAGAGGCTTAGGTCACATCACTCCAAAGCTGCACCTCCTTGAGGAACACACTGTGCCGCTGATGCGGAGAGTGAACGTCGGGCTTGGTCTACTGTCGGAACAGGGCGCGGAAGGAATTCACGCCGAGTTCAACCTGCTCGAGAAGAGATACGGTTCCATTCCCGGCGAGCTTGAGCGCCTGCATGCTGTTGCAGAACAACACCTCGTATGCACCCTGCCAGACGTTGCAGATCAACGGCCCAAAGTTCGATCGAGGCAGCGGACTGCTCCATCGCAGGCAGATCAACCAGCCAGTCCGCCATAACACTGACTACACGCAAAGCCAGAGAGGTAAGGTCTAACTGTTCACTTCTACTTCCTCCAATAATAATTCTTCTTCTTGATGTTTTCGACAGCAAGACTTCTGTTCTTACTTCCTTGTCGTTTCAAAAAATATTTGGGTTTAGACCGACTTTACCGAAAGAAAGTACTAAATCCGGCGAAATTATATAATTCTATACATTTTGTACTAAGTCGATAGGATTTCAGTAAATCCGCAGCGTTTTCAAACTTTTCGCCGCCATCTTGTTAGATGTCCACTGCGTAACAGCCGTGTGTAGTACGATTAGCAGTTGCAGGCCTACTACTAGTACTAGCGCGTATCTGTGGCCTGCTGCCACGCGCCCAGGGGTAGATCCTCGGAGCTAGACTAGTCTAGAGTGCGATGCTACCCAACCTCGCATGAAACGGCGTTCTGCTTGGATGATGGCGTATGATAACGGTATTTCCAACAACTGCCAACAGATACGGAGAGCTGCGCGGACTTCACTGGCCGCTCGACGATACTGTGTTCATTGGAGAAAATCTGACGACAAACGACTGTAACGAGTTGGTTACAAGTATGATGACGGCAGACAGGCGTGTGGGTATTTTGTACATGTACAGACACTACTACTAGTACTAGACATGGCCAAGCCGTCAGTCTGGCTTCAATGTGTTTAGTCGATCTTGCACTCGTGTCTGATGCCAGCTGCTAGACAAAGCAGTCTACGTTCTCGCACTGCTACTAAGTAATACAGACGAGTATGCACATGATTGTAGTAAGTGAACGGAATACCTGAGTAGTAGCTTCCGGTCCGGAGCATGCAGCAGCAGCAGAGATGCAGTGTCCACCAGAGCAGCCCTACGCATACCGTCCGTACGGTATCATCATAATGTGTAGGGCTCTCTGGTGCCTACCTGCTCGATATCATTTTCGTCGTTGAACCAGTCAGCTGCTTGTAAGTAATAATAATTATTAGTTGTAGTCAAGACTGCCTCGAACCAATGAACTAGTGTAGTACCAGTATTGACAACAAGAAAAAAAGTCACAGAATTCTGTCTGATCTGTCACTTTTGTCTTTTTTTGTCCTTTTTTGTTTACTAAAAGCCATGTGACATGTGGTGCACGCAACGGGAATAAACGAACGTGCACTTCATCTTGATGCAGCATGCTAGCAGGCGCTAGGCATACATAGTGGCGGGGGCCAGTCTGAAAAGAGCCTGGAGCAGTTGACCAAGCAACACCGTAGTCTAGCGCGTAGTCTTTGAAGTACATGTACTACAGTGCTGGCAACTGAAATCCGACCCCCTGAGCTCACATCGCAAAGAATGTGAACCCACCGCTCAGGGGGTCGGATTTCAGTTGCCAGCACTGTAGTACAGTCATGTACAAGTCTGTTGTAGTCTGTCGCAATCTGGACGTGGCATGCAGTGCATTA